TCGAGGGATGAAAGGAGAGAAGCGAGGAGCAAGGCACAGCTGTCCAGATGGTTGCCCGGCGCGCAATGGATTAAATAGCTATGACACCGGCCCTGGCCCGCTTCGCGACGCCTGCTGACTGGGATTGGACGGGGAGCTTGGAGGGGATGGCGGAGTGGATGATGGACTGGAATAGAAATGGGGAATCTGGGATCTGGCGGGAAAAGGGAGTGGAAAACAACAAAAATTGGTACAATATTGGATGTCGGTCGGTCGGCAGCCGGCGTGGTGGTGTCCCGTCGTTGGCGTCGGTGTCGTATCGGTGTTGGCTTGACTTGTGCTGCTGATAGTGTTGAGGTGAGTGAGTGACAGCAGCTGCCGCGAGCTGTGCCCCTCATTGCTCGCTCATTGAAGCGCGTCTGGCAGAAAAAGAAGCGGGATACTCCAATTTGCATCGACGACATTATCCATGCGCCGGACCTTCCTCCCTGCCTCTTTCCCAAACTCTGCCATGCTAAGCGGCGGTCGCCCGGTCTCGACTCTTGCACTTGCCTGTCGCATCGTGCTTCCCGCTTTCCGCCGGCTTGGAGGAGGGAAGGAGCTATCGCCGCGGCGGGGTGGCGGGGGAGGCAGGTGCGGATGCCACCACAACTGGCAACAGCACCTGGAAAGAAGGAAAGAAGCTGCCAGGGAGCTCCTTCTCTCTCCCACGTTGTTGCTTGTCTCGTGAACTTTTTGGAGGGGCGCGTCATAGGGAAGGAGGGGCACCACTGCCACTGCTGGGAAGGTACGTGGGTACGTACCAACCTAGAAGGTGGGAAGGTGCCACCCCGGGCCCGACAGGATAGGTGCGCAACGGCACTGGCCCGGCTTTAGCGTCCTGCCTCTATTTATCCAGCACTTTACCCGCCCCAATGGGAAGCTCCCAATTGAATCCGGGAGCTGGGTTCCAGTGGGGTGAGCCGTGGCAAGCGTGGGCTGCTCATAGATCCGGGGCCCTCCACTGCACCGCCTGTACAGTGACAGTGGGGGACACCACTTGGACCGGGACATGGATGAAAAATCCCTTGGGTCATGCTGCCAATTCTCCCACGCTTTTTCCACTTACCGCTCATTTCTCACCACCTGCTGCTGTCTTTCCTCGGTCGACCTCATTTCCAGCTGTCACGTTGTTTGAGACCAACTCGGCCGTCATGTGCTGCAGCAAACTTTTGCTGCTCCCTCGTGTTGGTGGTCTTAGCGGGCTCCATAACCCCTATTTTTCTGTTGAGGCCCCAGACCAGCTGTCCTCTTTTGTGCTTCAATTCATGTTGCCCTCCTCCTTATGATCCATGTTGTTCGTGTCTCTTGTGAATCGGCCATGCTGACATGAGAGAAGTGGAGGGGCTAGAATCGGCTCAACGTATCGTAGGATTCGTGTTCGGACTGGTGGTGTGTTCGGAAACTCGCTGTTCGGGACGAATCGATGGTGGTTCTTTTCAAGAACTGAAAGCTGTATCGATGCCGATGACATGCATACTCCAACTCTTGAATCCGTAGTCCAAGACTCCAAAGGGGACCGCTGCCATATTTATGTTCCTGTCCTGCCCGAACTGTGACTTGGCTTTCGGAACCCTCTCCCGCAAAGAAAGCAGCCGCCTTGGGACGCCTGCAGGGAACCCGTCGATCCGGGGAAGCGACCCCTCGAAGTCCACTGCCAAAGGCCCCGTGGTTACCTAAAGCACCCAGGCACGCCACTGTCATGCTATCGCGCATGGAGACGCCACTGTAGTGGGCTGTTCATTATGTACCTACTCGACATAGCCTCAGCGAATGATCTTCTGCCCAAAAGCTGCCCACCAGCCATGTTCCTGTAATAGCTCAGTTGCCTGTGCGGTCATTGTCGCGCATTCTGTCTTGATCAATTGACGCCAAAGGCCCGGTCATCTTTTATCTTGTAGCTAGATTTCAACATATTTGAAGTCAGGATGAAGTGGTTGTAGCATCAGGAGGTGCAATGTGTGACTTTCATGGTGTTTCTGACTTATATGTGTACATGAGTGACTAATTCAACATCTCGTTGGCTTCTAGCTCTTCCCCAGCGAAAAAGTAAGACTCCATCTCGAGAGCGGTGGGTAAGAATGTAGAGTACAAGACCAATGGCGACGGGGACGAAGACTAAGAACATGAACTTCAAGTCCAAGTCTTGTTCTAGTCCCGGAAGATCGTCCGTGCCGAGAGTGAGAAACGCCCACGTTGACATGAGCCATGCCGCTATGGATACTAGAAGACCCGGCCAAAAGACGTACTGTTTTGTAGTTTTCTTTGTCCTCTGGCATTCCAAATTGAGCCCGACTAAAAGAATAGTGACTGAGAAGGCAGGTTGGTATCCAAGATAGTATCCAATGAGCCATAGTAATTCCTGAGAAAACATTGTTCTGTTTCGGGGGGAAATGCAAAAGAGCACAGCAACCACGGCAGCGAAAAACAAAATGTTGATGACAATTGTGATAAAAGTTGTTGATAATGACCAGCAAAATGGACTGTTCTGCAGAGCTGAAAGATAATCGCGTGTTGTACATTCTGGGGCGTCTTGGTCAGTCTGATTTTGCTGAGAATTTTGAACTGGCGGTTCTCGAGAGTTATCTATTTTATGAGGATAGTTTAGCTTACTAATACATTCAGCAGATGAAAGTGATGTACGGATCCATTGTCAACTCACATATTGCGGCAAGATTCTGAACCACTACAAACAGAGGGCCGGCAAAAAGAACTACTGATGCTACCTGTCCGAACGTCCAGTTATTCTCGTTAGCCGGGGGATCCTGTCGAACATCAAAAAGCCGCGTCAAGCCCCAGGCAGCTGTGATCGAAAGCCAAACAACCTATTGACTTTCAGCGAGACCTTTTACTAACCAACACAACAGGCTCGCTTACCTCGGTTAAAAAGGACGCAAATAGCTCTAGGTACAGACGCCCAAAGATTCGTATTGCAATAAGCGGTTTAGCGAACATCAAGTCGTAGAGTGATGTTCCCAATTTGGTACACAACCAAACGTCTTTCCCCTCTACAATCTTTTCGAGCCTAGTCCGGGAGCTGTTCCTAGAAGCAGCAAACTTCCGTGACGCGGTTTTACTAACTTTCAGCACGCGAGATATAAATCCGAAAGCAATGAACCAGCAGGAGAAGACAGTTTCGAGAAAGTGACGAGTGCCTGGTAAGTGATCATGCCAAGCGCATATTGCGTAGAGAAATTTGATCTGGATTCTTCCGACATCCGTCTTGAATGGCGTTCCGATGATAACCGCGCCTAGGAGCATGATGATAATGCAGAACATCAGTCCCATCCGCCATACACAGCTTACCATGTGATTCACGTAGAAGTTTCTCAAATATGACAGAGCAGCTAAGTGAGTCACAGTTGAAAACCAGCTATGCCATCACCATTGGTAAGCCTAGTGCTGATACGCCTAGCCGTGCATAGCATTAAATTGGGACTCACGCAGTATATGTAATCATCAACCAGTGGTATCGGGACAGGGACCGAGGTAGGCCGTGGTAGGCACTGATGAGAATCGCAAGGCCAGTGACAATCTGAATGTCACTCATGTTGAGAACAAGCTGACTTTTGTTAGTATTGAAAATGTCGAGTATGTTGGATAGTGCACCTTATTCAGCGCCTTTTCCATCTTTATTCCGCCATTATGATTGTTCAACCACTCAAAATTAGTGCCTAGAAGTGACATAGCCCCTCGCAGTCGTTTCAAAACGACGACATCTACTACGTTGGGGACCGAAGACCTTTTGTGTCGTTCCTCTGGTCCCCGGAAAGGATCAAGTGTTGGGTCATAGGTGAAGATGTAATGGCCGATCAAGATCAAGACTATCAGACAACCTGTTCCGACAAATCCGATTAAGACCTGGGCAACAATCAGCGCCGTATCCAAGCTCAAGCTTAGTCTTTACGTACTCCTAACCCGCTGACATCGGGATTTCCAATATCTGTGACCGGTACAAACTGGCTGCAAAGTTCTGATGTCGATCGTAGGTGCAGTATTTGCGCCATTACCATTATGCCCTGACGAGCTTTGCCGTTCAGACAAAGATGGCCCGATGCTGGAGTGAAATTAATGCTGCAAGACCTCAATTAAAGCGAGGTAATGTGTCAGGCTTTATGCTCGTGGCATGCGCCGTAGGATTTGAAGTGTCAGCCATAGCTTGAACCCGTTAGAGGGGACTAGGAAGCTGAGCCACTCGCTTGCAGTCTGACGAATCCAACCATCCAATTGTTGTCAAATCAAAGGCCTTGAAATGCAAAAAAACATGTATGAAGATTAGGCATCAACGCGACGATCATCTAGGTATCCTGTGCCAGGCTGCTTCAAAGAGGCTGTGGCTGTGCTCGTATGGTTTCGAGGGAATGGGGAAATACGTTATTGTTCTTTCGCAACCAACGAAGTGGCGATGTCGACGGTGACGATAGTCGAGTATTGATGAGCCCAACAAAGGCCGAGTGTGTAGCACATGAAGACACAAGAATCTAAGTAATACAAGACCAAAGACGAGGTAAGTTCCGAAACTGGTCATCCTTGGCAGAGTCTCTCTACGCGACAGGAAGGATGGCATGTACAAAAGCATCGCGTGTCCATATGAAACGTATGAACGCACCGAAATTTCCATTTGTATTAACTATGAACTTCCAATAACCCCTTTGCCCCGACCTATGTGTTGATGTTTCTCCCTAATATGTCGCATGAGATTGTCTCGACGGGTGCATTGTTTGACGCAGCCCATAAACGGACATGGTCCGCCATCGCTTGGGATCTTGTTCTTGGGATTCGCAGCATACACTGTATGGGCACTCCGAACATGTCGATACATGTTCTTCTTATCCGAGAAGAATTGGCTGTGGCACCCTGGAACCGGGCAAGGTATTTTGGGTTCGTCGTGAAGTCTTTTGTTATGTTTGCTGAAAGCAACGGGCCAGCCAGTCAGCTTTGGGTGGGCATGTAAGCGAGTGGAGGGGTCATGTTACTTTAGTTCAGTGTTCCTGGGGAAGCGGAGGCCGCAAGGGGTGCAAAACACCGGCCCTTTGCTTCGTTTCGTGCGATAGGTCTTCTCCTGAACAGGCTGGCTTTCTACCCGATGAGGAGGCGTCACAGGTTCCTCAGAATCTCCTGAACCACTGTCTCCTGAAAAGGATGTGTCCCCCGGCGTCTACAAACGCGGGTACACGTCAGTCCCAAGAAATGAGGTTGAGGTGATATCTGAGGAGTGCAACGACACCGGGTTCACCGTCTCATCATCCAAAGTGGTGCATGGGTATATGAAGGGTCTAAAAGATGTCAGTCTTGTCACTGAATGAAGCCAGGACCAGTTTGTACCCAAGATCACTCTCATCGTCCTCTTCACCCGACCACAAGAAAGGATCTTGGGCCCCAGCTCGAAATATGTGGTCGAACCCCCGGTGCATGACCACCTACTTTCGATTCCGATCAATAACCAAAGCAAAGAAGCAGTCAGACGTGTTCTCGGGTATGCGAGTAATGCTGGAGTCAGAACTCTAACAGCAGCTAGAAATGTTGGAGGCCGGAAGGTAGGTGTATTAATGGGACGTCAGAGGCGTGATCTTGGTCAAACCAGAGGTACAGAGAGATCGTGCTACAACACAATGTAACCAACGGTGAGATAAATGGAAAAAGGGGGCCTCCAAAAGGACCGGGGATACAACCAAGTTGAGTTCTTGGGCCGCTTTCTGCCTATTCCCCGACGACTCGGCATCTTGACACGCAGACCCCGAGCACTCCACGCCACATCAAAAGCCTGATTAGCATGCTGTGGTGACATCGTGGAGCTCTGGACGGTGTGAGTGGGCGATTGGAAAACGGGCTTGCATCTGTGTTGGATGGCAGCAAAGTATAACATTTCTTTTTCTCGGTGTCGTTTCTCACGCTGGTTGGCCCCGACGACATGCCGGCATGCATTGCAGACTCCTGAATGACGGCAATGGACGCGAACCTCCAGTGTTATCGCAGAATCAATGAGTCCAATTACGCAGATCGTTCCAACCGCTTGCTGGCCGGTCAACATGCAGCCATGTTGGCTGATACGGGCTGTGCTGCATGGCGACCTGACCGGCCATGTTGGTGATGTATCCACAGCCGGTGTGGCTTTGCACCGCATAATCTGGGCCAAAGTTTGGGCCAGACAGCTAGGCACCCTTCAATTGGAGTATGTCATTGGTTAATTAGTGGTTCCCTCCAAGTTGCAGTCTTGAGGAGTGGAAATCTGGAGATGCGAGTAGAATCGACGTTGGTGATCTCACAGCAGAAGTGGAAAAACACGAAATATCGGAAGGACTTTCCACTTTTGAGAACTCCCAAAGAAACATGTCTGACGTCGGCTGTGTTGGACTTCTCCATCACATAGACAAGTATTTTGGACTTAAAAGCCCGGGCCTCAGTCTGAGCTAGATATCTTCCTGGTCTATTCATACTTACCATCTTCTGTTGGATTGTCGATAACGAAAGCCTACGCACAAGTTCATTCCTTCATCGATACTCTAGTCTCTTCCTGTTACCTGTTTGCACACTACTGCGCCCCAGGAACACTCGATACGACTCTATCACCTTAAAAGCACCCTTACATCGAATATGTCTCAGACTCCGAACTTGGCAGTGCAGCCTGTTGCTGTTGACTACCAGCGGCTTTTCTATGAGCCAGTCGTTCTGGAGTATGCTCTCCAAATCGCCTGTCGAGGCGGTCGGGAGGTCTTCAATGAGACTCCCATCATGGAGAATGACTCTCTCACCTCCCAGAAGCAAGCGTTTCATTGCTTCGTTGACAAGTTGGCTCAGGTCTGCGACAACGAACGTGGTGGTAAGAGGGTCACTGCGATGGCTGTTCTAAGCAGTAGCGACCACACGAAGTTTATTTTCGCTTCTAACGAGAGAAACGAGGATGAGAGGGCCGAGACCCATGACTTCCTTCACAGTCTTCTGACTCTTGTGGGCAAGAATCCAGCTGGCCTAAAGCCAAAGCCTCTCACCAAGCAGGTGCTCTGGAAGATCTTGCACTTCAATATGCTCCGCTTGAATGACTACTTGAACAGACTCATCAAGTATCTCAACAAGTGCATCGCTGATTGCGACAGGCGGCAGTTGTCTGGTAGTAGGTTCATCTTTGGCAAGTCTTCTTTGATTATTCCGTTTCTGACTGGTCACTAGCTCTCAAATCGGAGCTTGAGAAGCTTAGAGAGAAGGCGGATTTCCCCCGAGATTCGGGTGCTGTCCAAGATAAGAGTGAGCTTTTACAAGCACACTACAACTACGGATGCTGCCAGACTGACTTATTGAATAGTTCTGAGCGACTGCGAGAAGCTCATCAAGGGCGTTGTTGCCATTAAGAGCAGTCCACTTGAGGTTGCTATCAAAGACCACGCCAAAGATGGGTCCATCAGTGCTTCCGATTCTTGGTGTGAACTTCGACACTATCTAGGACGACTATTGTCTTTCCGACAGGCAGCCAATGTGATAGTCGATGCAAACGATCGGGATCCGGACATGTTGAAATCATTCAAGATCACCTCGGTTCCCTCCAGCGATCTGTTGCAAAAGCCAATCGCCAAGTCTCGATCCGTCACAGCAGTGTCTATCGTCGACAAAATGATTCCAGAAGACGACGAGGAGAAGGAAGATTTCATGGAGAAGGCCCTCGAAATGCAAAAGTTCGGGGTCAATGAAATCATATATGCGCAAATCAGCAAGCGGTCGTTCAAGCCGCTAGTCCATGCCGAAATCCTGGTTCACGACTATCTGCTGGGAGAGGGTTTGCAGCATCCACGAGAGTATTGGAACAGTTGGAAGTATATCGGCAGCAGCAAGCCTACCTGCAAGCTCTGTCACTACTACTTTGACTTGCATCCGGATAGAGTGTCGGTGAGGAAGCCTCATTTCAATCTCTACCCCAAATGGAGGCTCCCAGGGCTCTTCGAGAGCCAAGATTCCGGGGCTCCCGACGCCAAAAGACTACGCTTGCTTCAGCAGATCACTGAGAGAATCCGAGATGACGCAAAAACCACCTTGGAAGAGAGAAGGCCAGTAGGCAGAACCCATGACTCACTGACTTCCACGAGTCGGCCCCTAGGTTTGGCAAGGACGGATGAAGATAGTGACACTATATCTGTCAGCGAACTCGCAATTCAGCTTCCCACGCCCTCTGTCAGGCCTCAGAGTAACAGCGGTAGTTCACTTTCAGCTGGAGGTGACGATGATCAGGAGAGTACGCAATGGGAGAAAGAATCAGAGTTCACAGAAGAGGCCAATGAAGGGGTGTCGGTCGTGGATGCTTAATCATTTTTAACTTGTTTGGGCACGGACTACTTCAGTTTGGGACATGGTGATATGACAGAATGTTCGTAATTTGCAAGAGTACTATTTACCAATCTTGGTGCTATAATTTGTCTGTGACATAGAGAAAAGCCTCACATGGCTTAGTAGGGAGCCGGGGTAGGCTCAGCAGTCTCAGGCTCAGCAGTGCTGGAGCCGTCGTCGCTGGCAGTGGTGGTGCGGACACGAGTCTCGAAGGTGGAGGGAGCGTCGTCGCCGCCGGCCTTGTTGCCGCCTCCGATTCCCGGGATCGGGAGAGCAGTCGGGATGATGGCACCGATACCACCGCTGCCTCCGCCATTACCACCACCTCCGAGGAGTCCACCGATGCCACCCGCACCACCGACGGGGAGGCCAGTGGGGAGAATACCATTGATTCCACCCTTTTCGCCGCCGCCGTAGCTGCCGCTGCCGCCGCTGCTGCCGCCACCACCGAGAAGCCCACCAATACCTCCCGCACCTCCACCACCGAGAATGCCGGTGGGAAGGACGCTGCCCTTATCACTTCCGCCAAGGATGGCTCCGATTCCACCTTCGCCGCCACCAGGGAGACCAGTAGGAATGATACCACCAAGGCCACCGGCGGCCTTGCCATCACCACCGGCCTTGCCGCCGCCACCGAGAAGTCCGCCAATGCCGCCCTCAGCGCCACCTCCTCCCTTGCCGCCGCCGCCGAGGATGCTGCCAATGCCACCATCAGCACCGCCGCCGCCGAGGATGTTGCCCTTGCCGCCGCCGCCAAGGATGCTGCCAATGCCACCATCACTGGTGCCCTTGCCGCCACCACTGCCGCCGCCGCCGAGGATGCCTCCAATGCCGCCGCCGCTGGTGCCCTTGCCGCCGCCTCCGAGCAGTCCACCGAGGCCACCGCCGAGACCGCCACCAGCCTTGCCGCCACCGCTGCCCTGGGCACCACCGCTACCCTTGCCGCCGCCGCCTCCAAGGAGGCCGCCGATGCCGCCGCTGCTGCCACTGCCACCGACACCAGGGATGTTGATGGGGAGGCCGCCGCCAGATTGGCTACCGCCGGATTGACCGCCAGAAGGAGTGGTCTGAGTGGGAGTGTCGTAGTCTCCGCCGTGGGCGAAGGCACCGGCCGAGAAGGCAATGAGAGCAGTAGCGAAAATAGTTCCCTTCATTTTGAAAGAGTTTTAAGATGACTCTGAGTGGTCTGTTGAAAGATTGAAATAGTTGGGATTTGAGTGAGTGAATGAATGAATGAAGAGCTGAGTTCAGAGAACGAAAGTGAAGACTTGCTTCAGAGTGATGAAGAATGAATGGATGTGGTGGAATGTGATGGGATGAAGAGAGAGAAATGAACATCTTGGCGGGTGGAATCTTCGTCTTATATATCTGGAGGTTCTTGGGCATGATCACCGCGGACCGAATGATCTGACCAAGGATTTGTCAAAACCCATGGACCTCTTCGATGGCTTCGACGAGAAATCAAACAAATTACGCCGAAACATCATGGTCTAACAAGGTTATCCTCTCAAAATAGAGTCATGAAGACGGGTAGCTCGGGTAGCTCCTATGGCCCAAATATCTGGTCGAAGTGGACGCTTCAATGGCGAGAAGGTCTGACTATTCCGGATCTGAACAAGTCAGAACAGTAGTGAGGGGGTTGGGTGTCTGGTAGATGTTGCTCATGTCTAAAAAGTGGTCTTGGGCGTTGAAGAGGGGCCCCGCCGACGGGATGATCGAAGCGGCGTCTAAGGGTGGTGCGGGTGGTGGATACAAGCCCCCGCAACCCAAGTTTGTATCAACGAGTTCTAGACCAGGAGAACGCACGAAGGATCGCCCCCGACATTTGGGATTTGATTGCTGCACGTTCATGTGGCTGAAGACAGAGCCCTCATGTCTCCTTATGTCACTTACTTCACATCCTCCTGATGGCAAAAGCCTAAAAAGAGCATCTTTGGCTGTTTCGAAGGACGGCCGGCTTCAAATTCTCCGACCGGAGGGGGCGTTTTTTCCAAATGAGAAATAAGGCAATTGGAAATCGTTGTTTCATCTTATACGGGCTCTAAGCAAATGATCACTACATGAGGACGTTCGATCCGGAGCATCAACTATGTTCTCCTTTCAATTTCGAGGTCTGGGATGTTGCCTAGTGTTGCTCTAGGTAGGCGAACGGACCCATGTCTTGCTTACCCGTCCATAGGATGGCAGGCGTCGCGCTTAAATGACACCAGGAGACATCTAGGTCTGAGCCTTTAAGTCTAAAGCTTAGCATTAACCAGACTGACAAGCTTTGATTCTTGCAGGGCAAGTGCAGTGCAGAGCCGAGATCCGAGGAATTCGTTTTGACCTTGCACACAACGAGCTGGAGAACATTCCCCAGCATATCCCTGTCCAGAAGAGTCTTTCAACTCAAGACGTCGATCATCACACATGAAAGTTGACTAAATTTTGATCAGAGAAAAGCCAAAATACTCTGATCACCAAGACCAAAGACAAGGGTCGTTTTATCCTGGAATCTGCGGTTCACTGCATGTCTCATTGCATTTCGATCTCAAGATCCCCAGAAGGGGGAGGCAACAAGAGTGAGGGGAAAGGCGTTGACTAGTGAGACAGTGCTAAAAGCCACTAAACCAGACGGCGAGTCTTGCTAAGCAAATTGAAGGTCAACGCACAGTCAGCATGACCGGGACTTTCCGAGCAGCTCAAATTACGGCGAGATGCGCTAATACTGGACTTGGTTAACCCCCATGATTCAGTGCGAGCGGGGAAGAGAAACTTCCCAGTGTAAGGCAAATGAAGAGCAGCGTTCATTACGTGCTATCATCGGAACATAGTCCAAGTCGTCTCTTACGATGCGGGTCTGCTCTAAATGATACTTGTACCGGGCATCAGATGAACTGTTCATCATTGGCAGTCTGCTTCCTTGAATGTTGCCATCTTCTAATTCGCAACAGAACAAATGCGGATCTTGAGGCTCTTTCTGCCATCTCACCCCGCATCCATCACATTCAAGTCAGCATTATATGCATATCATACCAGATACCTTGTAGGGCTGTGGGTCAACTGGAGTTCAATGGCAATTTGCGCAAGGCTGAACGTTTGAGGACTGCGAAGACACACATTCAGTTTATGATCAACTAGCAGGATGTCGCACGGTGATCGTAGTTGCAGAATGCCTCAGCGTTCCGGAGTTCTTCATCTGCAGCAAAGTTTCGAAAAGAATTTCCAGAGGACAGATGCGATTTTACGTGAAGACTAAGACCTTTCGCATGGTTCTCGCTGCGGAAGCCTTCACCAGCATCTTGTGTCTAGTGTAAGGTAGGCAGACGACAATCAGCTTCATTTAAGTTGGGGGGTTTCATTGTCGTCTTCAACCGAAAGACCACAATGTCTCAATTTTATCAACCAGCGTAGCTATGATTTGCAACCCATCGGCATCAGTCGCAGACATGCAGCCGGCAAATTTGTGGTATTGGTCTAATTGGATCCGCGCCGACATGTGCATCATCTCGCTATGGAAACTTCCTGATGTCTTCTATGACTGGAGTCACTCAATTCTTTGAATAGGCTTTCATATTTCAGCTGGAAATGCTTTGAATATAACATTCGTCGTCCAGCAAGATCAAAAAGATGGTGGTGTCTTTCCTAAAATCCTCACTTTGGGTAATCTATGTCCGGGGAACAGACAGGCCGAAGTACCCACATTTCCCCTCGTTCCCCGGATTCCGAGGTGATAATTTCCTCTTTGAGAATCAAAGTGGAGCGTCCATTCTGAACCCGCGGAATCAACATGATGCCATTGTCATATCCTCTGACGTCCCACGTGCTTTTGCGCCGTTTTGTGGACATCTGTCTCAGACTCTCAGCTCTCAGCTGACCAACTAGGTAATCTTTCGCCGGACTTATCCATTCTAGACACGAAGCTGTCCCCAGATACGCGCCGCTGACTCGGCGGGTCTCGGTCCATGTTCGGGGTCCACGCCTGGGTCTTTTTTTGTTCAATTGCCGTTATGTTATTGGCTGGCTATAGATGGAAATTCAAGCTCGACACTTTCGCGGGGCATTGAATCGCGGGGGAGCTATGGACACAGAGAGCTTTCCCCAGCGTCAGAAATTCAAGGTTGGGTTTAAAAAGCTGGCTGTTCACCCCTCCATCGGTAACCGGTGGACCGTTGCTCACCTCCTTCTCCTTTTCTCAAGAAGTCATCGCTCTGATTTACGCCACCGAAACAATACCCACCATGCCGAACATCACTCGTTTCCGCACAACCTGGGGCATTCCCCCTGGCGATAACTTCGCAACATGGAGGCAGCTATTTCCAGAACTCAAGGCCAAGGGCTACAGTGAGTGAAGACTGCCGGTAAAGAAATTCGGAAGGGAAGCTTACTCTAATTGCCCAATAGCCGGAGTGGAAATCGACTACAGAGCAGTGAAGACCGAGGATCTCCCCGAGTTGAGAAAGCTTCTGGATGAGTCTGGTCTCCAGTTTATCGCACAGTATGTCGCCTAAAGTTCATTCCGACCATTGTTAAACTGGAGAATTGTGAATGCGCCTGACATCGTTCGCGTAGAATCATGTCTTCATGGCCTGGATACGAAGGACCGAGACCTCCGGGGCTGACCCCTAAAGACCACCTCGATTTCTATCGCAACCAGCTGGAGCGCGCCAAGGTTTTGAAGCCTGTCAAGGTCAACGCGCAGTCTGGAAGGTTCGTACTAGTTTGACAGGCGAACCATGTTCTTCGCGTAGCTTACACATTATCGCACAGCGATATCTGGACACCGGATCAGTCGGTTGAGTTTTACCAAGGGACTTTCAAGATCGATGAGGAGCTGGGCTTCGCTGGGAAAGTCACCCACGAGACACACAGAAACCGCTCCCTTTACCATCCTTACGTTGCGAAGTACGTTTTGGATCGAGTTCCCAAGTAGGTTGCCACATATCGAAACTGCTGGTTTTTCGAAAATGGTTTGGGCTAATTCTTTCGAAGCCTTCGAATCACCGCGGACATCTCCCACTGGGTAGTTGTTGGCGAAAGACTCTTGGATGTATCGGAGGAGGATATTGCTGTTCTCGAATCCGTCATTCCTCACGTAAGTGCTCGAGAAAGAGACTCTCACTGGCTTTCCATGATGCATTGAAGCATGAGACTGACCTTTCATCTGCAGGTTCACCATATTCACGCTCGTATTGGTACAACTCAATCATCACAATGTCCCGATCCTTCGAACCCCATTTACAATGATGAGAGGGAGTTCTTCGAGAAGCTGTGGGTCAAGATTGTTCAAAACGCCGTAAAGGCGAGGGGCGATGATTTCCAAGTTACCTTCACTCCGGAATATGGGTGAGCTAAGATCCTAGCTATGATGTTTCAAGCCCTGTCTAACACTAACATGTCTTGTAGCCCGTACCCATACCACCCTCATTTCGGCCCTAGAATATACACTGAGGTTGCTGACACCGAGGGTGTCCGTTTGGAGAAGCTCTTCCACGCAGCTTTGTAAGCTGGGCTACTAAAGAAGCTACACAACCTATCCGTAACTATTGAATGTTCTGGCGGATGGAGCCACTTTTTCCATGGATTACGATTATAGAACGGGCACATGAGACAGTGCGCTCGAAAACACTTGAAAGATAGACTAGAGTTCTAGGTATTCAACAGAAGCTTTATATACGGTGATACGCAAGAAGGAAATGAGGCAATTTGGTGTTATTCCAGCGACTGCGGAGTGACCACAGCACAAGATGTGAGATGTTCGAGCCAATCAAAACAAGACTTTTATTTTTTCCTACCCAAGAGCGATTATTATAGTTAAGATGAATCTGATCAGAAGTAGTGAAAGCGGAGACCTCTTTGTTCTGCCTTCCACTCGCAGTCGATTGGATGGGCACATATTTTTCGGATGTGAGAGTACGACCGGTTGCTCTGGTAGTCTCATTGACGCCCGAAAGGAACTCACATTCCACCATAGCAATATGACAGCAACACGCTGCAAACTGACCTGGCAAGTAATTCAATGATATATTCTTGCCAGTTTGGTACTTGTTTGGGATACGATGATTGGCGAATGCGATCACAAATAAATGATACTTCTTACCAGCTATCTCTCAGTCTATTTGACTTTTACTCGGACTAGTAAGCTTATTTGTTATAGGCGTGACAGCAAACCTTTGTCGATCCTGCGTTACCGGAAAAGGAATAACCTTGCAAATCATGTACATTTCCGAGTTGTCACAGTTCGCATAGTCGAGATTGTTGATTGAAGGGTATAAAAACATGGCATCTTCACAAGCCAAGCCGCAAATTTATTCAGTCTGCTGTCACTCTCGCCTCAAAGTCTGCTCTTTTAGACACTGCTAAACATAACGAAGAATCCAGTAATCTTATGTTACCCCAACTACCTATGCATAAGCCATTTCATTATTTCACGGTGAATGCGAGCCTCCGGATCCGTGCTCGAGTCAGGCATTCTTTTGTTTATGTGATGGACATGGATAATGGGGGATGACCTTTTCTATTAGAGTTTGCAAGGATGTTCTAGACTCGTGCTTTCGGGCTCAGTCCGACATCAATGGTTGTTGTCTACATCGGCGAGCAGGCCGTACGTGACATCACCATGGATATGATAGAAGTCTTGAACAACGCTACTCAGATTCCGAAGCCATTTGATTTAACTGGTAGGCTGGTTGGACACTGAATTTGGGGGAAAACAATGAAAACAGCAGTGTTTTGAACAATTGTTTGCTTGGTTCCACTTCAGGGGCCGCCAGCCCCTGTGGGATACCGCCTTACCTGACCCTCTTGGATACGAACAATCTCGAGTCATCTGAGAACAGCTAATCGTGTGGAGATAATGGAGTCGATCAAGCATCGAATTGAACGGGTGATCCGGCTGCTTCCCAACCAAGAGCAGTTGCATGGTCTAGAACATCTATAAAAACAACCGAACTTCTCTCTAGTAGCATTGTCCCGGAACCATACCTCGACACTTACTCCCAATTTCAAGAGAGAACCCCTCAGACTAGCAGTAAGGCACTTTAAGATATCACTCAACAGTTTCTCCAGGACCTAATATTCTGTTAGAAATGAAGTTTACCGTGGCCGTCTGTCATCTGGCTTCTTACACCGGCCTCGCCGCCGCTGCCGGATGCCAAGTTGAACTTCTCAACATCAACCAGGCCGTAGTCGGCAGCGGCTGCGTTCAGATGAACTACTACGCCAACATCTACGACTCCATCACCCGTGCAGGATACACTGTCAATGCCAACAACAACTGTGGCCTGAGCTTCTCTGGCAGCCAAAGAATCCCCGACGGCTACTCTCTACGCAGAGTGGGTTACTGCTAAGGGTCTAAGAGAAAGTTTAGTCCAAGATTGCATACAGGGACTTCCTAGCTGCTGTATATACTGGGTGATGGTTGTTGGAACGTTTTCAGCATTGATTAGCGACAATGAAAGAATAACTTGAGCTTGCCTCATACCGCACTACTTCTGATACTACATGGCTGTGAAGACAATTGACCTCATTCTGGGCTCTGAACTGAACTTCAACGATTTCAACTTATTCGGATTTGTGATGAGATCCTGATATACACTCCATACATGTGCACAACTGCTGTCGAACTTTGATCAAGGTAGGAAATCTCAAGTCTACTCCTCATTTGCTTCTTCGAGATTTCCGACCAGGCCATCATCTCCATCGTCTTTATCATTGCTATCTCTCTCAGCACCCCGTTCCCCCGCTTCATCTTCATCCGAACCGCCATCCTCAAGGAAGCCTGACAGGGCTCCGATGTAAGACATTCCAGCAAAAGACTGTTGCGGGTATCAAATGTGTCAGTATGGCGTCCATTAAAAGGGAAACCGTGCACTACATCAAACACTCATGGAACATACGAGGAAGGGTCAACTTGCCGCCCGAAACTCGGAATTTGGCGATTCCCTTCAAGCGCTCTCTTGTGCCCCGCCGAGTCCCTGTGTGATCACCCAGCCACTCGGCTGACCAAAGCCCATGACAACACCGTAAATAAGGTCACCATGTATTTCGATCTTCTGACGCACGTTCCACTGATCCGGAAGATCGCTTCCTCTGGCGAAGAGCATCTCTCGATCCCGGTTTGTTCGCATCTGATCAGTCTCTGTCAGTACGATCACCTTCCTCTAGGAGGATTGCGATGTAAATGCGCACGTAGACTGCCGGCATGTCCCCAGCATCCGATGCCACACCAATCTCATTGATCTCTTCGCCATTTTCAACGTCAACGTCAAAGTGGACGAGTTCCTCTTCTGGCCAACAGACGCCATTGATCTCAGTCGCACCGATGGTTTCGACCTCGCCAGAACTCAACTCTGCACGAAGGCCACAGAGATTGAATTTTCTGGGACCCTCCTGCCGGGAATACCGCAATGCTCAGGCGCCGGCAGCGGGCTGCCTGTAGGTGCAAGCCATCCCGATACTCGCTTGAGGGTGACATTCCCGACCGCATCAATCCAGGCGATCAACTCATTCGGGACAATGTCGTTGTTGAAAATATTGCTTTCCACTTCGCGGGTGATCTCAGGGATCAAGTTGTTCAGCCACAGAAAACTATTGCATCGCCAGATCCATCGATCCCAGCGAAGAGCCGACGAATCTTTCCAAAGGAGCTCGGCGAGCGGATTGATGTTTATTGACCCAGCTTCTTCTGCGTCAAGAGTTTCGTTGTTGACGAAAGGGGCCGTAAGCAACCCGAGACTCAGGATGGTTTCTTCGCCAATTCGGCCCTAAGAACGTGTCAATTAAGGTCGATATCGCAATATCTCATTTCATCTTTCATGTATCAAAGGAATATACTTACAAGTGTATGTCCGAGAACACCAGTCAACTTACACTCGTCTTGCCGTGAGGGAAGTAAAAGTGGTCTATGACAAGCCCGTCCAGACGTATCTCGCTTGCAATCATCGCCCAGTGTGATGGACTGGTGATCTCTGGAGCAAACCTGATGCTGCGCATGAGTTCATGCTTCAAACCGGGACAATTGTACACGAGAACCAAAATGAAGGTGGATGGGGCTGCAATTATGTCAACGAGGGTGAAGGTATACTACTCACAGTCAAGCCACGGATCACTACAGGCGGCGCTTCCGCAGAAGAGGTCATCTCAAGCTCGCTGAAAGTGTTTGCGTACGCGCTGGGGTTTGTTCCTGTCATGTGCAGACTAATTCCGGTGACGTCTTTGTCTGGGCCAATCTCGACGCTAATGAGTCGGAGATGAGATTTTTCATCCCCCAAACGAGTCTGTCGTCTCAACATGGTGGAATTCTCACCCATTTCTACCATTTCAGTTTTGAGGGGAGTTTCGGCAAGCTCGCTCATACCGTGTCGTCCAAAATACCTTCTTTCCCCAAAGGGCGCAAACGACAGTCCAACTAGACCCAACGTATCGTCGAAATAGGCGTCGAAAATTCGCGTGTGCTGGAATTCCTCGATTGATTTGGCCCAGTAAATGCTGCGGAGGTCCCTGTCTCGCCGGCTTGTGATGCCATGAACAACTGAAAGCTGAAAACAATGAGAATCGGCCTTAATTGAGCAAAGTGGCCAGTCGTACATATCGTCTTCGAACTCAATGTCTTCTGCTTCATCTTCGTCCTTCATGTACTTCTGTTGTCGCTGTTGCCGGAATTCCCTCCGAACTTGGATTTTATCGGCGATATGCTTGCAGACCTGATGAATTCTTCTCTCATTGGCCATGCTTATCATGTCAAGGTTGTCGAGTTTTGGAATCTCCTGCAGTTGAAATGCGACCCGCATTAGGTCGGAGCCCTTGAGAGCTGGATGTCCATAAACTATGTACTCTCTCAGGTCATCGTCATACCATTTCAAGTCATTGTACCACGGAAAATGATTCGTCAGTTGGCGCTTCCAGAAATTGAAGTTATTGGAAATCAGCTCATAGATCGCTGGTGAAGCCTTCAGTGAGCGAAATATTGAACGCAAGTCCATGAACGAAATGATGTAGAACACGATCTCGGGCGGTAGACTGTGGAATACATCCGTCGACGATGCCTCGGCGGGTTCCAGTAGAGTTGAGAGCAAAGGATCGTCTCAATATCGTTTTTCGATCTTCTCTTCCATGGAAGAAGACATTCTGAATAGCCTAGCGTTCGGGTCTGCCGCGATAATACCCGGCACAAAGACATTTTGAAAGGTGTTGTCGATCTTGATGTCGTAGTCGAGATTCAACGCCAGCGCATCGTGATTATGAGACAGCTCGTACAATGCGTCATATATGCCATCTGTCCTATTTTCGTCACTGTTATAGGAACCGGCATAGCGGTCCAAAATTCTGTAACAGGACTTGTGAAACGGGAACACCCGGTCGAGTTGGCCCGGATCGAGGTAGCAGCGAAATTCTGATAAGTTGCTGAGAGGCGTATTTACGTCGGCATTTTCTTCCCTCCCTCACTCCGGTTCGCCCATGATAAAGCCCCGGGTAGACGATACCGTGCCAGGGTCAGACACGAATGCTCTGTTCACGCCGATTCCTTCGTGGGAATGGGTGCTTATCACTCTCGCCTCGGAGAGCCAATCGAGGCTCCTATGGCTGAAGAACGCTGGATCTAGACCTTCGTATTCTTCCTCCGGCGCCTGGGTTCCGGCGGCTTTGTCTCGAGACTTTGAACTTTTGGCGATCTTTGGTCGTCGAAAAGGAGCGCCGACCGCACAGCGGTAATCTCGTCGGCTGTTGCCAACAATATTGACAGATTCGAAAAGGACTGTTGTTACGCTGGGGTCCAATACTCCGGTCCAAATAACGCGACGAGATACAAGAAACGCGCGAAAGGAGACTGTGTTTGATGAAGGGTAGGGGTATCCACGGATCATAATTCGACCCGACCGAGGAGAATTTCCTATTGCGAATTCTGAATTGAATTCCGGGGTCCGGCGCCGCACTTGAGTGGGCCGGAGGCGTGCCCAAAGCGGATTTCAAGTCAAGCTGGACGTTTCTTAGTCGCGGGTCGCATTCGAGAGCAAGGTGTCAATGGATACGTGGAATTGACAACTGAGAAGATCTAAAACATATCACGACCTGTGATAGCTCTTGTGGTATGCCACCAGAGCAATCTATGTCTCACCTAAATGGCAGTAGCTCCTTCGAGAGTGGCGACAGCGCTCTCGTCTTCCAATTCCTCCCCCGAATTTTCCTGCTCTGAATGACTCCAAGTATTTGAAAGAACGCCGAGAGAAGTCACGCTCGCATAAGACTGCCGTATGGAGTCAGCAATCTCAGAACAGGAAGATGTGCACGCCCACGTGGGAACATCATGATAAAGGGCAGGCATGATAACTCACAGCTCGCAGCTCATGGATCGGCGGATTTGTCTGGTCGGTTCCGTCACAGCTAGGGGTTCTGGTCCACCCAGAAGGCAGACCAAACGCCATCACTACACCAAGAATACTCTCACCTTTCGGTACGATGGGTACTTTGCAATGACCGTCGGCACGAACATCATAGTTCCTTGTGAATCGCTTTTCCCGGCCATGGTTTGTCCGAACCTGGGTTGAAAATGTCAATCTCTGACTCATACGAATCATGCAGCCCTCATCTGTAACTCACGTAGAGAGTATCCCGATGGCCCATATCGACGTACGCGCCAACTTCAACGACCTCTTCCTTCCGCCCGCAGTCAATGTCGAAGTGAACAACCTCTTCTTCAGGCCACGATTTTCCGTTGATATCAGTCATTCCAATGGTTTTCGGAGATTCTGATTGAAATTCGGCTCGTAGCCCGCATAAAGTATATATCGACTCCCCCCCTTTATGCATGCGATCATCGTTCGGGTCAGGAAAAATATCTCCAGCGTCCACTAGCCATGCAGACAGCCTCGTGAGTGAAACATTGCCAGCATATTTGCTCCAGAGAATCGCTTCTTTGGGGATAACGTCGTGGTTGATGACGCGGTCCTCCAGCATGTCGAGCTTCAGCCAGTCATCGCACTCCCAGATCCAACGTCCCTGAAAGACTGCCGAGGTTTCTGCCCAGAGATGTTTCGCAAGCACATTGTAATTTGGAGCCTCTTCATCTGCACTTTTAAGGCTTTGCTTGCTTTCGAAAAGGGCGTGGAGCAGGCCTAGACGCGAGATCTCCTCTTGCCCTGTCTCGCCCTGTGATCCTCATTAGCATTTCGTTGTCAATTTAACCGGAGAATCATACGATAGTCTGGCCTAGAATGCCAACAAACTCAGAATCGGCGTGGTCGGGAAGAAGTAGAGCTCTGTGACAGACCCGCCTTCGGACACCTGCCTCACCCATGCTGCCAAAAACCAAGCGTTCTCCGTCATCAAAGATAGCCTACGCATGATTAGCAAAGCTTGAAAGCATACGTAGGACGCTTTATTCTGATGTGCAGCTGTCTAGTTGCAGAAACGCTGCAGAGCGTATCTACAGAGTAAGTCGGGTTACTTACGGTGACCGCACTGATGTAGATAGAGAAAAAGTTGGGGAGTGTGATGTACCGAAAGTCGGTGTATTTGAGTGAAACCGCATTGGCTTCAGTACACGTCGTGTGCAGTACAAATCCAATGATACCTTGGCCCGGGTTGACTTGACCTACGGCCTGTCGAAGAGTAGAGGCTTTGTCACCTATGCGAACTAATTCCTTGTAGATCCCAGCGTCATGGTTTGGCTCTGTTGGACTAGCAATAAAAGCGGTTTCTTCAAGACCTTCGAGCCCAGAACGGCCGAAATACCTAGGCGGTTCGTCACATGGCTGGTACGATAGTCCTACCAGACCGGAGTTGATGTCAAAGTAGGCCTGGATTGTCCGTCGTCGGTGAAAATCGTCGTTTGATTGGATATACGGGACGGTACGAAGATCTTTGCTTTTGCTTGCACTGTTACCCTGAACAGAAACAAGTTGATCGCAATGGGAAGCGTTGATGATTGAGGTAGCGGTGCCGTTTTGATACCACTCGCTCTCTTCCCGTTTCCACTTTGCCATATATCGCCGTGAGATTTCCTCACAGATTGACCAGATGCGTTTTCGATTATGCATTGTCAACGAGAGCGTCGAGCCAGGTTTGTCTGGTTGGAGAATGTAAGCCCACAGCATTAGATCAGGCTTCTCGCCTCTCGACTCTGCCTCTTTCGCGTCCTCATATGCTTGATTAAACCACTGCATGTGTGCGCGAAGATGTCCTTTCCAAAAAGACCAATTGCCGGTTACAATGGAGAGCAGGCGATCAGACACTTCAACCGCGCGAAAAATGCTTGTGGTATCGAGGTGCGATGCTACTTCTAGGAGAACTTCCGGTGGGAGATTTCTTAGAAAGTCACATTCTGTCTTTTGCCTCGGTGTCCATATGTGGTTGTACTCCGAAGTGTCGATATTGCCGAGAGACATTAGCCGCCACTCAGAATAGGCGCTACCGGGGTTCATGAGTATAAATATCTCCCCAGGCACTAGTTTGAAGGCCGGGCTCATGTCTATACCGTAGTCAAGCTCTAAGGCCAATGACGATTGCCCATGTGATAGCTCAAACATGACATTATACAGCATGTCGTTGTGATCTTGGATGTCATGTTGTAAAAGCAGATGCCTCCAAATCTCAGAATGGCAGACGCTGTGGAGTGGGAAGACAGCATCGAGCCGGGTAGAGTCGTAATAGAGTCTGTATTCCCCAAAGCCGAATTCCGAGTGAGGGGCGTTGACATCATTCCCTCTCTCGGCCATTATGATCCCCTCCTCTAGCCTGCCACGACCAGTTAAGAAGGCCTTTTCGGTACTTGATGGAGCATTGGGGTTGAAACCTAGGAACCGGACTTCCTCTACCCAGCTAATGTCGCAGTCATCGAAGTAAGCAGGATCAAGCCCGCGGTAGGCTTCATCCCCTGCATCAATCCCACTCACCTCATCTTTGACTTTGGACTGTAAGGCAATTGGAGGCTTCTGGAGAGGTCCACCGCATATCGCGCAGCGATAGTCTCCAACGCCAAGCGTCGTCATCGCATCACGATGGTGGGTGTGTCGGTGCAATAGGAGCGAGGCTTAAGTCTTGACGAACGCCGAGGGCTTTATTAATTTGGCGAACGGGGCGGGAGCGTCATTCACCCGACGAGTCGCCCTACCGGCCCGGGGGTCTACCTTACGGGCTACCTACCTACTATGCAGTAGTGCACTTTGTGGGGCGGTCCGACCCACACAGTGAGAGATGGCAATCTTTACGATGACAGAAGTCTAGTTTCAAAGGAGTTGTGCATTAGGTTGGAATAAACGTATTTTGTTCAAAATGTTCTCTTTCGTTTCTCCAGTTAACTACTCTTGTGGGTTTACAACCACCTTCAAACCGCTGACCCCCTTATTCAGGATATCAAGGGCTTCGTTGAGTGCTCCGAGACCACCATCAATATTCTGCGTTGGAAGCGGAATGAGCTTGTTTTCCGCAATTGCTTGGGGAAAGTACGTGTTGAACGCCCACTTCAGAAGACCTGCGTTCTTCTCTTCTCCCAGAGGCGCACTCCACGAGCCAAACTCACGCGTCACACCTGCCGGGAGATCGTCCGGGCCGAAGGGCGGTAGCAGTGCATATATCTTACCACCGCCCTGAGCACCAAGAACCCCGCCGGTGATCTTGATGGTATCTGGAAGAGAGATGGAGTCCACGACGTAGTCGTAGGGTCCTTCCGCACTCAAAGCTTTGATGACCGCATCGGAAGATTGTGTATGGTCGATGACTTTCACAGCCCCAAGCTTAGCCACAAGCGATTTGTGTCGAGGTGACGTGGTAGTAACGACATCGTAACCAGCTTGTGCAAGATATTGCACAGATAGACTTCCAAAGCTTGAAGTACCACCGTAGACCAGTATCTTCTTGCCACTCGGCGGGGCTTTGCTATGCGCATCAGGCTTGTGAAGTCCCAGATGCTCATTAAACAGGCCGATGACAGTGCTGAAATTTCCAATCAGACCAACGGGACCACTGAAATCGACTGAAGCTGGCAGCTTGCTGGTGGTGACATCCCGAGCGATGACTTGCTTCTGGAACGCGCCGAATTTGTTGCCTTCAGCACCAGCAGTCTTAGCTGATGCGACCTTATCTCCGACCTTGAAGTCGGTGACATTTGGACCAACTGCCGTGACTGTGCCTCCATACGATGTACCCAGAATAGCAGGATAAGGAATTGGGAAAACTCCCAGTTTGGCAAGTTTCGCGTCGATGGGCACTAGAGCGATGAATTCGTTCTTGATCAAAAGCTCGTGCGACCCTGGCTGTGGGGTCTCGACATCTTGCACCACCAACGGTGTCGTGGCAGCCGGAATAACAGCGGCGGAATGAGGCATGGTGAATAGTAATGATTGAAAACTCTTGGTAGTATGGCTGATCTGGGTTTGGGATGTGAGTTGAAGAATTATTACTCGGATCAACCGTTCGCGCACTTCAACGCTTTTTATGATGGCCCGTAACTCTAATGTCGTGCTCAGAGGCTCGATTATGCCATCATATCCAAAGTTACGCCAGAAAGTTCGACGAATCATCAACCAACATGATTTCGAATTCAAGCTCGGATGAAGACGCAAGTCGCACGCTGCTACCGCTTCAAACGGTGATTTATAAGCCGCCGGACTGCTTAAGCCTTGAATTAACGGAACATCCGGAGAACCCCCTGCCCCTTTGTATTTCCCCATCGTATGGGCACAACTGCTTCCGCAAAAAAGTCCGCTTCGATGCAACTACAGTCAATAACCTTCTGACATGCAGTAAGCAGGCTTTCATTCATCTGGGGAGTCCAGCAGTGGAGATTGATCAATCCGTGCTCCCGATACCAAGCCCACGAGATGGGACGGGCGCTCGGATCTTGATTTCCCACTACAGCCATTTTCCGAAATAGAACTTCAGGATCATGTAATGTGAAATCCTGAACATCTTTCCCTTCATGGCTTGGTTGTCCAATTTGGAACCTTTCTCTATCCGCCATTCACGAAATGTGGAAGCTTTATGACTACGACCTCGGCGATTTTGGAAAGACTGGGCCCGCGCAATCGGATATCATCTCGATCGCCTGCAGCGATGACTTATATTGTCTCAAAGACATCGTCATCTTCGTACGCACTTTCGTTCTGTCCCCTATGCAACTGTTATGTAGGCATGTGCCCAGCGCTTAGCCAGAGACAGTCGGGGAACCTCCTCACTAGTTATCCCAGCTGCAACACCGTGGCAAAGCATCGTCACCAAGACACATCTGCTGATTATCAGATTGTAGTCACAACAAGAGCCGAAACCTTGCTTTTTTAACAGCCCATGATCTACAGTTGAAGCACTGACCGGTCTTGCGGGTACGCTGTAGTTCGGCTCCTTGCGACGCTTGCAGGGGTCGTGATACTGAGATGGGCTGACGATGACAAGGATACTTCGGACGCCCTCAGACGAAGGAGGGCACCTCGTTGATCTCTCTGAGAAATCTCCGAAAGGTCATCCAAAGATTTTTTGGGGTCCATCGAGGGCGATTCGTGTTGTTGGGCGATGCCGATACAGGCCAAGGAGACACTTCCACGTCGTCGGGATTCTTGTGGTCTGATGTCGGTACGTTCCAGGCCATCGGGGGCTCGACTTGAAACGCTTCCAGCAACAAGGTCGTAAGGTCGCAACTCGTCACTCCGGGGAACCTCGCACTCCTTTCGACTCCATAAACGCGCTTGAAACGCATGACATTCATGTGGGTATCTTATGGCACCATCCGAGAGGTCCGTGAATGACCGATCACACAAGATAAAAGACATTGGATCGCCATTGAGTTTTCGCATTATTTTCCTTCTGCCAGCCATTTTCAAGTCGCATTCTGCAACCTGCCATACTTTCAGATTTCCCAAACTTTCGCAATGAATAACAACAATAAGTCTGGCCCCGGCGGGCCAGGGAACTCAAGCAACCCCCGTCCAGGGCAATCCCCCTTTCCCAACTCCGGCCCTCTGGTCCGACAAACCCCCACAAACTCCCAGTCAAGCCAACCGTATACGAGCTCATACAGCAACAACTTCGACAGAAACAATTCCAGATACAGTACTGGCAGAACAGACGAAAGCAGATACAGTCAGGAGAACAATGACTACACCATCCCACCTCGATCGCCACAGCGTCTATCGCCTCCACGCCAGCAGCCCAAACGCGAACAGGCTGGACGAGCTTGGGAGGACAGCATCTATGGCATGTACGGTGACTTAAAGACGCCAAGAGACCCACCACGGCAGAATCAACAGTCAAGACGGCAGTACCAGCAAGAAGACGATGACTCGTATGACGAAGAGGTGCCCCGGCGCCCAGATCCCGAGCCGGCACGGCCACGCCCGAACCGGGCTCGCACCAATCCCGAGGAGGGACCGAGGCGTGCGAACACCACTCGTCAGAACCAGCAAAATGAGAGATCTGGTCGTTCAGAAAGACGAGACCGTGGAGATCAGCAAAATCGGCAAGATGGCCGGGATGCTGACGGCAACTACCGGCGTGTGCACATCAACATCGACACAGGCGGTGATGGTGGCCGCTCTTGGACATGGAGTACCGACGACCGTGATCGCGAGCGCACCAATGTCAACATTGGAACTCCTTTTGGAGGTACGGGTTTTGGGGGATCAGGGCCATCACTTGTCAACTTCGGCGACTCTGGGTTTCCATTCGGTGGTCGGAACAACGGCGGTGGCAGATTGCCTGTGAATGTACCTTTCGTCAACGGACTCCCGGTCAACCTGCCATTTGGATTGTAGCCTGTGACCTCACAGCGCATGTTGAGATTAAAAACACCTTGTACTATTACATGTTTGTCAAGGAGAATAGTCTCCGAAACTGCCATCGGAAGAGCGTGTCTTGACTTGGACGGCGAGGTAAAAGCAAGGAGTTAGGGCCGTTGCCTAGGGAAACAATTTCAATTTTTGGTTGCAGCCTATTTGTGTCAAGTCTATTACTCTTCTGAAGACCTTGAAAACAGAATCTGTCCCCCATAGGTTAGTTTCTTGATCGCCGTAGCTACAGCACGAACTTCGATCCCACGAAACACGGTGCGTATATACCCGGCATTTGCTTGTTCAATTCTGCCTTAGCTCTCCAGCCAGTGCAGTGACCCGCAAGAAGTACCTTGACTCCAGATTCTTTCAGGTCAGATGCAGTCTGCTCGATGATGTCGGGTTGCGCATCGGCAAGGTGAAAACCGCCGATGACTGCATAAAGTGACGCACCGCTACCAAGATCCATGGCGTGCTTCGCCGAGTTTACCACACCTGCGTGGCCGCACCCTGTGAACATCACAATCCCCTTGTCTAATAGTATCGTCAGCGATGTCGTTTCTTAGCCAGTCCACTTAGATAGAGACAAGACGAGACTCACTTTTCAGGCGGCACATCAGGATTCTCTCATCAAGCATTTTCTCGTCCTGTTCCCAGTCGCCCTTGGTCTTGTCAAACCTCATTCCAAACCTAAAGCCGGCCTCGTAGCCTGATACTCGTGGAATTTCTCCGGAAATCAGAAACATGTTGTCCAAAACCGTATGGGATTGATCATTCTTCGTCACAGTGCCACCATGTGCCTCAACTTCCTCGAAAGTCGGGTCAGCTTCCAAGGAAATGACAGGCATGCCGGGAACCTGCGCCCCCCGATAGTCTGGGCGACCAGGATGAAGGTCAACTGTGACTGGTAACAGATCACCACCGTTCTGCTGACGAGCCTCGGATACCATATCAAGGACTTTGAGCATTCCGCCGGAGTGATCCCTGTGCCAATGGCTCAGCGTGATCAGTTCGATTTGACCAGCGTCAGCTCGGAGGCGTTTGGCATTCCGCTCCCATATATCTTCCTCTGGCCCTGTATCGAAGAGAATTGTGCGCTTTTGTCCGTCTTTGATTCCCGTTATCATCAGCGAAAGCCCGTGGGCACTGCAGCAGATGTTGCTCATTCGCAGCTCTGGGACTGGACCCCCTTCCTCGGGAGACTCTCGGATGGCACGCATGGTGAGGTCTCTGATGCCACCGGTCTGCTCGATTAGAGGATTGGGACAGGGTGAGATAGGATCGAGTTCATTGTCGATGATCGCCAATATTTCGAGACTGTCAAGCTCAACTAGGTCCGCCATATTTGCTGGTATGAGTTGAGGCGATGGCGCTCAAAATTGAAAGAAGGAAGGCAAGAGCCAAGATGACGGATTAGCACCAAGTTGGTCTGCGGACAACTGTCCTATATTTCTAGTGCTGACACAAGCGATGGATGAGAGGCACCGAAGTTCTCCCGTCTTTTCAACATGCGGTTGATGTAAGCTTGATCAATTAGCATTCCGGACGAACATCTACCCCAAATTGGGCGCTGAGATGACCTACAACACCTGTCCACACACGGTTAGTCCTCTCGCTATTGCTGCGCCTCTTAGTCACGACCCGAAGCTTGGCGTGATTGTCGCAGTGAACGATTGTCCAAACATTAGAACCAACAGCAGCAAACATGAGGGAAACCGCCCTTGACCCATGTATTACTGTGAGCGGTCACGCGCTCAACTTGCTTGGCCCAACACAAGCCCCTGTATTAACCCCAGTATGCCACGGTCTGTCGCCCAATTCAGCTTGAGGCAATTGAAGTATTTATTACCCCGACAGCTCTCCAGCTACTGCGGTCAAGAGCTGTTTTCCTCACCGTCTCGTGGCACATAACGCCACTGAACGCGCACCAATCAACCGAATCAAGCAAAGCCGACACTCACTTTTCCAACACAGCAACTATGCATACGCCTACACTTGCAGCGCTCATCGGGGCAGCGCGACTCATCAACGCCCTGGAATTCATAGCGCCCGACACCGACCGCAAGCTCAACCTCTCCGCACCAATCACCATCGAATGGACGCTCAATAACGAGGGGAACGCTGAATGGACGGAAGTCGATCTCTGGTGGTACGGCCAATTTTCAAATGGGGGAGGGAATTTCGGATTTGCCATTGAAGAGAATTTCACGACTACGGGCGACGGGACATACGGCTACAACTGGAATCCGGCCTCGGAGGTGGAATCATTTACGAAGAACCAGAACACGCTCTCTTCTGACAAGGTGTTCTACTTCTTGATCAAGCGACATGCGCCCAGTTCAACATCTGCTTCCACTCTTGAACCAAGCGAGAAGTACGCGGTGGAAGGATACGATTTGATCGGAAGCTCTGCAAGCCTGATGAAGCCTATGTGGGGTGTCGCGGTTGCTGGTCTTGCTGCAGCTTTTGCATTGATCTAGCATTCGCCCCCTCGTTGAGAGCTCGAAATCCAGTACGAGAGAGTCGGAGAAGGCGGACACTGGGCAGGAATATGGAGCGGACTCGAGCCTCACAGTGTCATTCCCAGTCCCCTCGGTGCAGCGTCCTGGCATAGGCAACTTTTGTTCGTCTCCTCCAGACTGGTTACACTACACACTTATCAGTCTCATTCTAGACTTCCGTTTTCTCTTCAGAGCGAGTCGTTGTTGTGTGGAACAGACTAGATATAAAGCATCGGTCAAACACTGATCTCAGAACACAATAGATCATGATTTAGAGAGCACCTATGAGAGCAAGTATCCGTAGCACAGGAAAGACGTGCATTTGATCCCATCGTGCGGCTGCTCGGGCAAAGCGAAGGGTCAAGAAGGACCCAACTTAGTCAGAACCGGCCGGTTAGCCAAATATTGTGAACCCTGGGCTCCTCAGCATTCCATCTCCTCATGTGTACGAAGCCCATATTGCGTTCTCCAATCTGACATTTCGAGTTTCCTGGCTTCAAACACTCTCCTTACGGAATACTGCACATCATAGATTCTTCTTGGACCAATCCATGCTCTTCTAAGCCCATATCGTACTTACCCGATATGCTCTAGGACGCAACGAAGCAAGAGAGTATGATGGTATGCCGGGGATATATGTATAATAGCTGGGCTTAATAATGATTTAAGCTATCATAATGCCTGATTGGTCTTGCTGGCAGTTCAACAAAATTAGTCAACGTCCTTGACCCATTGATCAAGGCACCGGCTTTTTCTGAGTCATACACTCCGTTGCGTTGACAGCGTCCGCCCCCCTTTTTTTTCCCCGCTTATGCAAAAACATGAAAAAAAGCCAATTTTACGCTGTGACGCGCATTTCTCTGCATCGCACGCAAAACGCGTCAAAGTCATCACCAACACCTCAATTGCCGTCAATCACTATAGTCCCAGTAGTATTCAAACGTATAACTACACGATAGAGACATAAGGTGTGTATTTCATGCTTCCGTAGCAGTCAATCTACCCATCGAGGCATTGCCAACCCAGCTAGTCACCTCATCCCCATACCATTCGACCAACAAAAGGTCTATTTTCGTCATGAGAGATCAAGATGACATTTGCTGAGGAACAGAAGAAGAGACCTGCTGTATGACTTTATATATCTACTCAGCATACGGTTTGTATGGCTCTGAGTAATATATAAGCATACCAAGGGGCTTGATACGGTTCTTCAGAGCAAATGCTTTGGCAGTCAACAGGATTAATGACTCTCCTGATAGCTCAGCTTGTTCACGATATTGAGCAAGAGTCTACTGCTGTATAGATTGTGCCCTGTTACTTACAGTTTGCCGCTGGTCAGTACATGTCCGTGGTTTATTATATCAGATACATCGAGAAAGACGCCGGGCGACGACGACGATACAATGGCGCCCAGAATATCGAATCTACAGCTATCGACGATCGCGATGATACTGCCATTCGAAGACCAAAAGACCCACGAGCTGGCAAGTATCGTTGGCTGTACCGAACGAACGATTCGACGACATAGATCACGACGTAATATCACTGGCGAAGTGCAGAGATATAAGAGGTGCCGCCAGAGTCGACAAAAGATGGAAATATGGCATCGTACAGAGCTTCTTGAACTACTGCAGTACCGCAGCGATCTATCTCTTGAAGAGATGCAAGATTTCCTATTTGAAGCCTTCGAGATCCAGATCAGTCGTTCTGCAATCAGTCGACAGTTAAACTCAGCTGGCTGGACGAACAAGAAGTCCAAGATTATTGCTGCTCAGCGAAGTGACGAACTACGATACGAGTACTTGTACCGTATACGACGATATCGCCCCGACCAGCTGGTATTCGTCGACGAATCCGGCGTCAATAAGGATACTGGGATACGGAGGACTGGATGGGCGCCGAAAGGGCTTGCTGCGTTTCGAACTGCAGAGATTGATCGGTTTCAGAACTCTCGCGTACAGATCCTGCCAGCCCTCACGTTGAGCGGTATCCTACACTTGACTACGTATTATGGTACGACTGACGGCGATGGGTTCTTTCGTTGGCTACAGGAGTGCCTTATCCCGAAATGTGGGCGTTTTCCAGAGCCAAACTCTGTCATCGTTATGGATAACCTCTCCTGCCATCGTATACCTGAAATCGAGGGTTTATGCCGGGTATCAGGTGTCCATCTCGAGTTTCTGCCTCCGTATTCACCAGACTTCAACCCCATCGAAGAGTACTTCGGCGATCTAAAGCGATACATCAGGAAGACGTATTCGAAGTGGAACAACGATGAGAATGACACTCGGGATTTCATGGAATATCTACGTGACTGCGCTATGGAGATTGGGTATCGTCTACCCCAGATCGAGGGCCATTTCCGCCATTCGTTCGTCAACTTTGATGGGACAGAGCATATATTTGACGATATCGAACTATAAAAGGGAGGATTTGCTGCCAATATTGAACATCAGCAAGCAATCCAAATTTTCATCGTGCGTTCGCGCGCAATAGATCTTAATCGTGTCGTCATATGATGGTCAATCATCAAATCCATGATTGTAGCCAACAAGATTGCCAAAAGGTTAGCCACAAGCGCACCAGAACACAAAAAATATACCGTCGTCCATTGTTTTCGTCGGTAGCTACGTATACATATCAATTTTGCCTGTATAACGGCTGAAACGCGTTGTTGATGCTTGTGACGATGATTTGTGATGATGACACGTCATCACGATCAGAGACTTCAACCATAGTCAGAGACTTCAACTGCCCCTAACCAGTATCGGGATGGACCGAAGTGTATTGTTTGCAGATCCAAAATAACAGTAATTCTATTGCTTTTATACGTATAGAGCGGCAGTGTTGAATCTACGGCTATGGGTAGACTTTTCCGTGGTTGAACACGTCATGCAAAAAAATCGCGCATACAGTCAAACTTCACACCACTCTTGCTGTATCACTCTTCTTCGTTATCCTCCTCCGAGTAATACGTCTCTGTTGACGACGTATCACTCGAGATTTCAATCTGATTGTCCTCATCGCCTTGCTCGATTTCGTCTTGTTCGATCTGTAACTGCGTGGGCAGCATCTGCGACGCTGACAGCAGTGGTGACGAAACGAAACCAAAGAGTTCCGAAACGCCTACAAAGTTAGCCATATTCGACAGTAAACAGCTCTATATACACTCACCACGTCGACCAACTTCAACTGGCGTACCACGGATCTCTTGCTCGATGGATTGACGTGGCACTAGGGCGTCGATATGTCGGGATGACCCCAACTCGCCTGAAACTAGCGCCGCAGAGTTTTCAACTGGCGCCGCCGCCGTCCCTCCTGGCAATCCAGCGTATATTCTTGTATAAACATCTCCTTCTGACTCTCGATGGTTTGAATGAAGTTCAGAGTGAGATACCACGTCGGAGAGGGCGTCAGACTGCCCTCCGTAGTAGGCGCTGTTGTCTATGAAGGATTTGATCGAGTTCCTGACATCTTCGGTAAGATCTTGAGTAAAACCCTGTTCAGTAAACCAAATATCTGGTAACTTGCGAATTGCCCGCAAGCTACTGTCTACTGATCGCAGTTTCTGTAGCTTCTTTCTGAACCCTTCGTCGACGTTATATCGCTTGCCGCGGACGGATATAAACCACTTGATGAAGCTGGCCACTTGATCTAGAGCTTTTCGAGGCGAATCCGGTACCACTGGCGAGGACGAACGAATCGGGAGTGCGATACTTGGTTGACGAGTGCTTGGAAGGTTCAATGGCGGAAGAGTTGGCAACGAATACTGTGAGATGTTCGCATATGGCCAATATGCCGGCGGCGGCGGCGCCGGCGGCGGCAGCTGTACGTATGGGTTA